AAGGCTTCGTTATCCCTAATCCCGCCTTTAAACCCGCAGTTATAGATCCCTCTTATACTTTGGGAGTGGTGTTGTTCAACAATAACCTAAATATGCACTCTCTCCCGAGTTATGCACACTAAATAGGCACAGCTAATTGAGGATCCTGTCAATTAACTACAACATACACAAAGTTGAACAAATAAAGATTGAGACTAGCAATTTGTATTCACATAAACAAGAAGTTCATCCCCAAATAGGTTCCATCAAAACCTTAGACAAAAGATTTAGCTACTCATAACTATGGGTAAATAAACTAAAACAATATTCATCATAAAACTTGCAAGAAAAATAAAGAGAAGAAGAAACCAAGATGTTTTGGGTGATCTGTCACACTTGTTTTTCTTCCAAAAATACTCTCCAAAACAATACATCCTCTCTTGGGCGGAGTGTAGTGTTTAAAATAGGGGTTTAGGCTAAAAATCCCGTATTTTGCACTTTAGTCCCTGAAATTTCCGCCTCCTGCCGCTGTTCTACCGGGTTCGCGATCAAACCGCGGCCAAACATGGCCTCTGATTCTTCAATTGTCTGCGTCTGTACTCTGCCGTGGTTCTGCCGCGGTCTCGGTGAAACCGCGGTTTTTCATCCTGTTCTGTTTGGAATTTGGGAAAACACAAAACATGAAAGTTGTAGCCCTTTGAGTTATCTTTCCAACCATATATTATGGAGCCAAACTGGAGTTCTGAGTAAAATGTTATGTATATTTTACTAGACAGTGCGCAATATGCCTCATCGAGTCTTCGTTTGTTCTCAACTATCAAATTTGACCCCCGAACACGATCCCGGCTTAATTCCTTGAACTTTTACTCAGATTTCAAAGCTTTAATCACTTAAATTCATTCCATAACATCTATATAGCTCGGAATCACACCTACAAGGCATAAAACACATAATTAGTGCAAAACACTAACGATTAAAGCACAAAAGTGTAATAATCAACTAAAACACGTAATTATAGCCTATCATCAGAAACATAGCCAAATACGCTATTAGTTTATATGTTAAATTATATTCTAATCAGAATTCTGCACGTACAGAAGGGATGAAATTACAATTGAAAAAGTTAAATAGCTAGCAAACCACATAACAGCTGATCTATATATTGCTACATCATGTTTTGAAGGTACATAAAGAATATTGACTCTTCAACAACGAAACTTATTACTGTATGATAAAACATGACAAGATTAGTCATCTCCTTGCCATCTTACGACATTCATAGTTAGTTAATCATATCAAGTGAAACGATAATTACATTTCTTTCATGAACTTGGTCTCAACAAACCCTAACTAGTTACTATTACACATCCAAACTCGCAATAGAAATTACTCACGAGAATATATATAGTATAAGCATTGAGAAAACAATGCAGCTATTCAAATAAAACATGAAAATAGTTAGAAAAGTAAAAATGAACAGAAGTTTCTGGACCGAGGGACAGATCTATACTGTTAGCTACAAGTTCACGTGAATCCAGTTATTTTGATATATCAACTTACGATCGATATAAGAACCCATTAACATCAAATTCTGGATTCGCCTTTGGAACCCTAGTAATTTGATGTTCCTTGATCTAATACTCTTCGCCTTTTAGACCGTTCACCAGTACCATAACTCGAAGGTTGTACTATAGACCTCAAAGTATCTCTCAAGAACAAGAGAGACTCATCACTACTATGATCTTTATCAACAGCTAATACAATCACATTACGAATTCTCCCTCCTAATGTGACCATTTCAGCTCTAAGAGGACTCAATCCGAGCGATTTTAGGGTTTCGATTAGGTCAGGGATGAGATCGAACCGATCCTCGCAACAAAGAGAAGCCTTAATGAGTAATCTCCCATCAGCTAAGCAATCATTTGATGATAGAACTGTGATTTCATCAGTTTCAGAAGGGAAGTTTGTTTCATCAAGTTGCATGATTTCTGAAGTCTGTTGTTTTAACTCCCTCACACGTTGAACCACTTTGGCTAGCAAAGATGCTTTATCTGTCTGTAAAATGAAAAAAACAAAACACATTCAAAAAGAGAACCAAAAAGAGGAATAAAAAAAATGCTATGGTTATTTACATTTTTTTTTTGTAGAAAAAGTGAAACTACTTTTCTAATCCCATGTAATGTATATGGGACCTTTTCACTACCGTGTTCTAATAAATCAGAATCTTGAATACCAAANTTGCAATATGAAATATATCTTGAGTAGTTTCGGTAAGAAATTCGGTAAGGAGATAAATGACCTAAGTAATAAGGTTTAGCCTAAACTGGCATGGAACCAAAAAATTCAAAGGACAATTAAAGTTAATTTCTTCTGTAAAGCTATGCCCCTTAAATTTGGTTTTAAAAAAATTCGAAGCTAAAAAAGGGATTTGTTTTTGTTGGAAATAAAAGAATATATCAAATAAATAGATGAATTTGTTCATTATTCCACCCAAAAAATAATCATGTTTTCATTCAATATTCCACCATATTTAGTAAGGAAAAAGAGAGAGTAAGGGAGTAACACAAGAGTACTAGTAAGTTATATGCACCCATCTTAAAAAAAAAAAAATTATACCACGAGTTTAAGTCATTTCTATCTGTTAAATGAGGTAGCGTATCATATTTCAAGATTGCAAATCTCATATTTAAGGGGATTTACTTGTTGATATTCTTTACATGATTGACAGAGTAAAAAATTCTTTATATACACGCTATTTGTACGGAGAAATTACCTTTGAATTGCAGGAAAGTAGGGTTCTGAGTCTATCAAGATGAGAATTAATCCTTTCTCTTCTTCTTCTTTCAGCTTCTTTATGATTCTTAGAAGCAGCGATAGCTCTTGCCTCGGGAGTAGTAATACTCTCTACAGTTTCTTGAAATTTCACTGCTTGAGAGTAAAATGATGAGCTACAAAAGCTTTTGATAGCTGGAATATCAAAACCATATTCTCCCATATTCTCGTTTGATTTATTTTGGGTCAAATGATGGCCAAAATCCAAGTTTTCTAGCATGTTTTCTTGTTGCATATTGATGGTTTTTTGGATTCTAAAGAGAAACTTTCGGTGGGAATTTAGAGAAAGAAATAAGTGGAAATGATTGGATAAGATGTATGATTATGTCCGGGGCGGATGTAGAATGTAATGTACGGGTTCTCGTGAACCCACTAATTTTTGTCCAAACAATATAAATATATTCTAAAAATTCATTAAATATTTACAAATATTTAATGTGAACCCAGTTGTTATTAAAAATTTACTCGAAATTGTTAAAAAAATCCATAAAAATTAAATCTTGAATCCGCTTCTTTATTTATGTCTAGGGTTTTGATAGGACTTTTCTTCTTCTCTTTTATCTTTTTGGTCGTTTCTTCTTTGTTGAGGTCGATTTGGTTGAGTTGTGGTCACATGAAATGATGGTATGAAAACCACGCGGTTTTATTTTATGTGAAAAAAGAGAAAGCACCTTTTATCTTCTTGTAAGCACCTTCAATTTGACCAACACAGAGGAAAAGATTTTGATAAGAATTGTCCAAGATTATATTAGAAAATAAAGATATATCTTAATTATTGTGAGACACTTAACATCCCCTCATATGCCCAGCATACTGATTAAAACACAACACTAGGAAACACAATAACTGGGGTATGGCATGATATTGATATCATGGTAAGAAATAAATATCAGACCTAATTCAATTTTAAAAATTAACTCGTGAGATGATGATTATCAAAAATCAGTATGTTATTTACTCCATCCAAAACTAAGATCGTTAACCAATGTGTTGTTAATAGTTACTACATCATGTCGAAGACATGATTAATTGTATAAAAATGTCATTTTAATAACAAAATTTAATATGACATCGGCGCAAATCTTGAGTTCAAATCTCATGCTACCTTTCAATAAGAAAGATTCTAGTGCTTGGCCATAGGAATAAGACTCGTATACGAGAGCACGCTTATTGAAAAACATATACTCCTACAACGTGAATCTTCTCTTTATAATTAAATTTTTAAATAAAATTGTCACATACTAACTACTATCAAAGGTTCCACGCTTCTATATGAATACGGTAGGAATCGGGGCTACCCGATTTCATTCTTCGGTCGAGATAGGAACGTCATCCCCAAGGAGCTGGGACGTCAAGTCCGGATTGAGATCGACACCGATTACGGCCAGAAAGAAGCAGACTTCAAGTGGCATCGGCATAGCTTGATAACGAAAAAGGAGAGATATCCGCAATTGGTCGAGGATCGTGGCGTGAATCTTGGAACGAATCAATCTACAATAGTTAATTAGATGTTAATATAAGTTAAGATCTCATTCATTTGTAAGCATCATTATCCACTAATAAGAATACACACATCCACTGCTCTCTTCATCTTACTTATCGTTCGTTACTGTTCATCATTGTTATTTCATTTCTTTACTGTTATTATTGCTCTATCTCGAGACCGTCTTGAATCGAGGTCAAGACTCCATTCGCATACTGGTTTGGTGTATCCTATCGCCTAATTTATCTGTTTAATTCCTTGTTTATTAATTGGTATTGGATTAAATCACATATTCTTAAAACCATAATATAAGTTTAATTGTTACCCGAATTATAGGATAAACAGTTTGGCGCCCACCTTGGGGCTAAGGATAATAGTGATTGTTCGGTGCTGATTCTGATAACACACATTATTTAACGCTTGGTCTTGTCAAGTATTTTTTCTCAAGTTAAGACATGTCAAACTCACAAAACGCACCCATACATGGTGACGATGGTCTCGGGTTTCACGGGGAGAACGATAACATAATTGCTCCAGGAGCCGAGGTGCCACCGGTTAATCTCGGGGAAGCATCAGTTGCCAATTTGGTCGATGTCAGTTCGCACATTGCTTTAAATACGGACCTGGGCACGGACCCCGAAGGGAGTGTACATAGGGAACGCCAATCTGGTGGCCAGAGTACACAGGGCAGATAAGATGGAGGAGTTAGTCTTCAGGTGATATTCGAGATTCTACAGGCTCAACAGGATGTTATTGCTCAGCTTCAAAATCAACATAGAACTCCGAGTGGGGTTGAGCTGAAAATCATTCGCCGTACCGAGCCAGTGCCAGAGAGGTCGAATGGTAACGGATCGGGGACCGATCCTGCAGTAATGAAAATGCTCGAGGAGCTCACCAAGAGAATCAAGTCAGGAGAGAAGAAAATCAAAGCTAATGATAAAAAAATGGAGACATACAACTCTCGACTTGATCAGATACTAGGGGCACCACCAATCTTGAAAGGGATGGATTCAAAGAAGTTTGTACAAAATATGTTTCCTCAAAGTGCTGCTCCGAAGCCTATTCCAAAGAAGTTTCGTATGCCAGACATACCCAAAGTTAATAGGACCACTGATCCCAACGAGCATGTTACTTCATATACATGCACCATCAAGGGTAACAATTTAGAAGATGATGAGATCGAATATGTGTTGTTGAATAAGTTCGGAGAGATCCTTTCAAAGGGAGCAATGATTTGGTATCACAACCTGCCGCCAAATTCCATCGACTTATTTGCCATGTTAGAAGATTCTTTCGTAAAGACACACGCCGTGGCCGTAAAGGACGCAACAAGAAAATCGGACCTTTTCAAGGTAAGACAAAGAGATAACGAAATGCTGAGGGAGATCGTATCCCGATTTCAAATGGAACGCATAGAGTTGCCACCAATCACATATGATTGGGCCATTCAAGCTTTCACCCAAGGGTTGAACGAGTAGAGTTCAATAGCATCACATCAGTTGAAACAAATTTTGATCGAGTATCCAAATAACTTGGGCAGATGTGCACAATCGATATCAATCGAAGATTAGGGTCGATGATGACCAATTAGGAGCCCCTTCTGGTTCAGTATATCCAAACAGGTTGATAGTTATAGCCTAGAGGGACGTCGACATGGAGCCGAGGTCGAACAAAGAATGATATTAACCATATACCGCATATCAAAGGAACAATAGTTCAAGACGCAATTCCACCAGGAATGATCGAAGAAGTGATCGAGAACAGAATTCTCGGGGACTTATGAGCAAAAGTTATTCTGATAAGTATGCTGATCCCACAGAGGCACCTCGATTATTCGAATATAACTTTAGTGTCGATGAATCGGGCATTGTATCGGCAACCGAAAAGATCAAAGATACTAGGTGGCCCAGACCCATACGGACCGATCCTTCCCAAAGAAACCAAAATTTGATGTGCAAGTATCATGGCACGTATGGTCACAGGACCGAGGATTGAATGCAATTAAGGGAGGAGGTATACCATCTATTCAATGAGGGCCATCTTCGAGAGTTCCTCAGCGATCAGGCTAGGAATCATTTCAGAGAAAGGGACGCCAACAGGAAAAATGAGCAGGAGGAACCCCAACATGTCATTCATATGATCGTCGGTGGGGTCGATATTCCATATGGACCCATATTCAAACGCACTAAGGTATCAATCACTAAGGAAAAATGAACCCAAGATTATATGCACGAAGGCTCCTTATCATTCAACGATGAAGAAACAGAAGGCATTTCTCATCCCTACAACGACGCTCTGGTAATTTCTATCTTATTAAATAAAGTTCAAGTTAAGCATGTTTTAGTGGATCCAGGTAGCTCGATGAATATCATCCGACCAAGAGTCGTGGAGCATCTTGGCCTACAAAATAAAATCATTCCCGCGGCTCGGGTCTTAAACGGCTTCAATATGGCCAGTGAGACAACTAAAGGGGAGATTATTCTACCGGTGGACATGGCTAGAACCATTTAGGATACCAAGTTTCACGTGATCGAGGGCGACATAAGGTACAATGCCTAATCAAAAGGCCTTGGATCCATAATATAAGGGCGGTCCCTTCGATTCTCCACCAAATAATGAAATTCTCTATACCAGACGGTGTAAAAATAATATACGGGGAGCAGCATGCTGCAAAGGAAATATTTGCGGTCGACGAGGTAATACCGATATCGACGTTATCAACCTCGAAAAGGTCGAGAATCAAAGGTAAACAGGAATCCAAATAGCATTCACAACCATCAGCCTCAACCGAATTAGAGAAGTAGGAGACAGAAGAAGAAGAAGAAGAAGAAGAAGAAGAAGAAGAAGAAGAAGAGGATTTTCTAACCCCTCAAACCTTTATTGTTTCCGAAGATTCCGACGCCACCAAATCAACGGTCGAAGAGCTGGAACAAGTTATATTGATCGAGTACCTGCCCGAGCGAAAGGCATATACCTAGAAACAATATTAACTCTCGAACTCAAGAAAAAGCTTATTCAATTTCTTATTGATAATATGTATTGTTTTGCTTGGTCCCATTTAGACGTGACAAGGATCCCGCCACGACGCAGCGGCTAAGCCTGGACCCTAGGTTTAAACCAGTGAAGCAAAATAGAAGACCCCAGTCCGAGGTAACACATGCATTTATAAAATATGAGGTAACTAAACTTCTCAAAATAGGGTTCATTCGGAAGGTAAAATACCCCGAATGATTTGCCAATGTAGTCATAGTCCCTAAAAAGGGAACAAACATAGAATGTGTGTAGATTATAAAGATTTAAACAAGGCATGCCCCAAAGATTCTTTTCCGCTGCCTAACATCGATCGCATGATCGACGCCACGGCTGGGCATAAGATCCTTACCTTTCTCGATGCCTATTCCGGATACAATCAAATTCAAATGAACCCGGAATATCAGGAAAAGACTTCATTTATCACCAAGTATGGGACATATTATTATAATGTAATGCCCTTCGGGCTAAAAAATGCAGGAGCTACTTTCCAATGCCTAGTAAATAAAATATTCGAAGAACAAATAGGTAAGTCAATGGAAGTTTATATCGATGACATGCTAGTTAAGTCCCTGCGCGCAGAGGACCATTTGGCTCATTTGTAGGAAACGTTTGAGATTTTGAGGAAATATAACATGAAGCTCAACCTTGAGAAATGTGCTTTCGGGGTCGGTTTGGGCAAATTCCTGGGCTTCATGGTATCAAATCGGGGGATCGAGATCAACCCCAATAAAATCAAGGCCATCGAAGATATCATGTCATGGATAGTGTAAAAGCCGTGCAG